CTTCATTTTATTGTTTAGATCAGGGGTGTCCAACCTTGGCAATTTTAAGACTTGTGGACTTCAACTCCCAGAGTTCCTCAGCCAGCTTTGCTGGCTGAGGAATTCTGGGAGTTGAAGTCCACAAGTCTTAAAGTTGCCAAGGTTGGACACCCCTGGTTTAGATAATGTAAGGACATGGCTATAATATTCTCATTATTAACTACAGTATTAAAATGCAGGCAAAAATTGACTACACAAATTTCTCAAATTTCTACACAATAGCCTTCTTTAGTGATCTGTAGTTAATTTCTGTTTTTCAAGATATCATGGTATATTACAAACATTCAGAACCTCAGAATAAATTTGTGAATGTACTTGTGTATATAACACAAACCAACCCACTAATCTGTCTTATACAGAGACAATAGAAATACAGCTTGTTTGGAATGTCATGTATCGCTCACAGGGGAGAACTAACAATAGCTGTGTCAATCTGGAGGTAAATTTAATTTTACAAAACAATTGCAGACTTTCAAGTTTTGAAGACCTCCATCTGCTACGGTGGTTAGAAGCCAGAAAAAAAGGGAGGAAACTTGGGGATTCTTTTTCTTTTTGGCAATGGATGTCTAAGAAACCTCTTTTTCTAAAATTTTCATTTTTTCCTATCTTGGCTTTTAGATTTTATAGATCGCTGGGCTCAAAAGACTGGATTAAAAGGGAATTGATACCATGGATACAGCCTCAGCATGGATACCGGATGTGGTTATTAGTCACAAAATAATCTTTTGGAAGATTAGAGTTGTACCTCTAGAGGACTGTCTAGAATCACTGTGTATCTGAATTAAACTTTAATGTGTCTATTTTTGTGTTATTGTTTCTTTCCTATTCCTTTCCTTGCTTGATTTTTGATCAATGGTAGTAATAAATGCATTACTTATTTAATTCTTGCCCCCTCTAAATTGGGCTGCATTATTCTTATTGACTTTTTATGTTTTATGTAAGCTTCTGTAGAAATCTTTGCAGGCTGAAGAACAGGCTGGTGAATACTAAAATAAAACTGAATAATCTGGGTGGTTGCTGAATATGAAATGAAGTAAATGGGCTTTTGGTTTGATTTAGGAAGAATATTGTTTTGTTTTCACAGGGTTCATCTGAGGAAATTATCCCGGTTAAAAGCCATTTTTTTTCAGACTACGAGTTCTTCAAACTGCTACATGTACAATCTCCTTGATAAAGGGTAATGAGCTACATGTCGGTTACTCTTGTGAATAGATGGTTTCCTATTGCTGATGCTTACAAACAGGAAATGCTTCATCTATTTGGTAAACTAATAAAGCTCAAAAGAACCTGGTTGATCACTTGACAACCAGAATTATATGGAGCTTTATACAAAGGATGGGATTCAATTTTTTTAACAACTGGTTCTGTGGGCATGGCTTAGCTGGTAGGCGTGGCTTGGTGGTGATGTGACTGGGTGGGCGTGGCCAACTCAATAGCACTCACATCGAGGCACACATCTCCTCACCCGGCCTCTCATGACTGTGGGGATGCTGCAACAGTCGTAAGTGTGAAAAATGGTCATAAGTCCCTTTTTTCAGTGCCATTATAACTTTGAATGGTCACTCCACACAAGCAAAGTACCAGCAAAGGAGGAGAAAAAAACTCCAGAGAAGTTCCTGAGACAGGAAGTCTAGTCCTGCCAAGAATGTAATAAGGGTTAACGGAGAGGCTGTTTCTGTAAGCAACACCAGAATGTTTCCTTCCTGCCTTCCTTACAGGATTAGGCCAGTAATTTTTTCTAACAGCCAGTTCTCCGAACTGCTTAGAATGTTAACAATCGGTTCTAGTGAATAGGTGTGAACTGGTAGAATCCCACCCCTGTTTATACAACACTCCATGAAAGATTCTCTAAAAAAAAATTTCCATAACAAAGTAAATATCTCTTCTGACTCACAAAAGAAGATCCCCGGGAAAATAAAAGTAAAGGTCCTTTGAAGAATCAAAATTCTTATTATGAGAAATAACTAAGTTTTAAGGGATTACTATCGAATCCAAAGATTTACAACTATGAGCCCTTATAGCAGGGGTCTCCAAACTTCTGGGAGTTGGAAGTCCACAAGTCTTAAAGTTGCCAAGTTTGGGGATACCTGCCTTATGGTATAATAATTGAAGTGTTGCATAGGGTTGGCCTAAATTCAAATCCACCCTTAGCTCTTTAAATGCGGGTGGCTTTGGGCCAGCCATTCTCTCTTAGCCCAAAGTATTTCATAGGGTTAATGTGGGAGAAAAATGAAGGAGAATCATCTGCCCGTTGCCTTGGTCTCCTGGAATAAATCTAACAAATGAATAAATTGCATTACAACTATCTTTAAAAGTCATCTCTAAATGGGCGTGATCACCAAATGCAATAACTCAGAAGTGGCTAGAGGTTTAAGAGCAGGTCTTGGGCATCATCTGTAGATGGAAGAAAGTAATACTTTTGCAGCTGATATGGTCACAGTGACTTTAAATACATGAAACGTAAAACACTGATTGCTTTCCCAATATAAAACACCAAAGATGGAATTTTCTTAAGGAAAAACTATTATTGTGGTTGACAGCTGGAGCATCCGTGTTAAATTGCTCCTTTTTTCATGAAGTATTCACTATTTTCCTTGTGGCTAAATGTAGTTAAAACAAAAATTTCATAATCTATTATCCAGTTTCCCTCCTAATTAAGACATCCAGTTAAATTAAATTAAGTCTCCAGGAGCAAAATAAATTCACAAGAGAAGGAGATAACTTTTTTTTTTCTAAATACCGATGAATACTGATGAAAACAACATATTATTCCAGAGCATCAAGGGATTTACATATCTTTAATTATCTCCATGTGTTCTCAGTAATTCTTTAAATTAGGAATCTGCATAGTTCTTATAGGAACTGTTTTTTAAAAAATAGAAATGTTAAATCAGACTATATAAATTCCTTATTTCAACAGATTATCTCCTTGTGACTAACAGTAAATAAACACATAAGATTTGTTTTATTTCTTTAAATTATTGTAATGAAAATATTGGGAATTGATACACTCATGGATTATTTAGCATCTTAGAAATTCAGCTGATTTTTTCCCCCTATTTTCTCATGTAAACGACTTTATCATACAAAGTTTTTTTCCACAGCAATGTCTTGCTTTCCCAGCAATATCTTGTTTTTCCCCCAGCAATTGTTTCAGTTTGGAAGTTGAGTTGACATGGCTAAGACCCAAGATATTTAAGTCCATTTATCACTAACTCCAAATTTCTGGAGGTTAATTGGCTAGGTCCAATCCTGCTGTTTTCTCAATTGCAAAATATGCCATTTCTCAATTAAATGTTTTGCATGAACTGGGGTATGGTAGTCAGTGATTATTTTTATTTGTAGGTTTAAAGCTTTGGGAACTAGGAACTTGTGTAAATCACTCAGATTTGCCCAGAGGAATTGAGCTCTTACCTGCCAATCTCAGCCTTAAAGGTAACGTTGCACATTAAGATCTCCCAGGCTGGTAACTTCCAAATAGAATGGATAGCTATCCAACAAATCCTTAGCCTACGTACTGCTTTGGAATTATGGAAATTATAGTATAACACATCTGCAAGCTTTTAAACCCAACTTAAAGGCTGTTGCACATTATGGCGTAGTTCTATGGTTGAATGGTGCACAGACAATAAAGCATGACTATATGAGTCGATTTGGATGAGTAATTCAACAGCACAATATTAGACTGCAGGAAAAACAACTTTAGTACTGTTCCAAGACAAAGGGCCTTTGCTGAATCAAACCCAGACCAAAACCGAAAGACGCTACAGACCAATAGTTAGTCACATCTCAACAGAAGGCATGAAGCCCAGTCATGCAAGAAAGGAAGATTTTGGGAAGTCAACAGATGTGTTGTGTTTTTATGTGTGTGCGAAAGAAAGTGTATTTATGGAAAAACAAAAGGCAATTCAGCCAAATAACTTGGAGAACCTGTAATTTAATACACACTTTAACTGAAAGTTTTTCTGATACCAACAGAAGTGAATTCTCACTGGACCAAGATATTCTGATATGAAGGAGAATTAAAAAGCTGTCACTCTAGCAAAGGAACAGACAGAAGAAATTTCTAGTTTTGTGCTAATGGCCTTTTACGGCACATCTCCTTCAACCTTTGCACATCTCAAGTTTTTTTGTTCAAGGGACCTTCTTGATAAAAATCACACAGGAAATAAACTTTCTTTTTTTGTCAGTTTTCCAAGAAAGTACAATGTTGGACAGGAGAAAAGCACATACAGTATCATCAACTTCCTAGTGATTTCTCAATTCAAATTAACTTGTTATGCAATGAATCCAGATAGGTATAAAAGAACGTTGTATGTGAAATTCAAAACCTTTTATAATTGTCACTCATTTTCACATAGTCAGAATGTTTAATTTCTAGTGATATATTTGAATTTAAAAAGGGTTTTTTGTCCATGCATATGATCCAATAGAAGACTCCTGATGAAAAACCTTCTATGTTATTGCCATCAGAACACAAAGCTCTATATTTATTAAAATAGAAGGAAGAAGGAAGGCATTTAATTGCAAAAAAACCTGCCATTGTACCTGCTAGGTAACATAAATGCTATCATCATCATTTTATAGACAGAACCATGGGTTAAAAAGATATAGTTATTGAAAAGTACTCCAGCCATTTTTCACATATCATGATTACTTGATGAAAGTCTAACTTAAACACAAATTATTTATGTTTCATGAAAGTTACTTCCGTGCAATTATGGATGACATAATTGATTATAATTCTAACAGCAAACTATCAAGGATGCAGGAATGTGCATGCAGTAGACGGAAATTAAAATTGCCAGATGAAAAAGAGCTGAGTTTTATACATGACAACTATAAACAATGTGTTGGTTTTTTTAAAAAAATAGATCTAAATTACTTGGAGAATTTTAAAGATACAAATCAAATAATGAATCAATACATAGTAAAATCTGAATTAGATATGGCAAGTTTACAATATTCTTAATAAATATATTTAAATTAGAAAAAAATAATATGGAAGGTTATTCCAATTGATTATCTTATCCAAATACAATAGAACCTCTGGTCACAACCATAATTTGTTCCATAACTTTGGCTGCAACCTGATTTGGTCGTGACCCAAACCTAATTTTGGAAATTTGGTGCTTACAAAAAAAGTGGCATGGAAGGGAAAATTGGCCATGAAAAAAGAAAATTCGGTGAATTTTTTGGTCGGAACCCAATTTGGTCATGGTCAGAAACATCCATGACCAGAAGTTCTACTGTATTCTATTATGTAAAATATGAAGGAAAAATGTTAGGAACAGAATTCAGGCAATCAAAAAGAATGATTTAATCCAAATTGTTCATGTTTTACCTCATCTTTATCCTGCACTTGGATGAAAAGAGGAAGAGCGAAGCCCACTTGGGCCAATTCAGGAATAGCCACGCTGTACTCTGAACTATTGAATTGAGGAGCATTGTCATTTATGTCAATAACAAGGATGTTGAAGGTAGTCATCACTGTGGCATTGGAAGGCGTCCGATCATCATTGAGTTCAGTTCCCTGAAAAAATAAAGAGAAAGCAAAATTTCACAAAAAACTACAAAAATTGGGCACATCATCAAGAATTCATACTTATTTTAAATTTAGCTATGTTTCATATAATTAGCGCTATATGACTGAGATAGTTATGGAAGAAGTTAAAAATATGATTAAGCTTAACAAAGAGAGCTTTTTTAGTATATTGTAGTGGTTAAGATGCGATAGTAGAAACCAGGAGACTGAGTTGTAGTCCAACATTAGGCACAAAATCTTCCAGATAACTTCTTTTTTTTTTTTTGAAAAAATTTTTATTAGTTTTTAAAGCAAGCAAAACAAACAAAATGTAAAAACATCCAACTTTCCATAAGTATACAAATAGTGTGTCGGTTAGTTTACCAATTTTTTTGTGCATCCATTTTGTAGTCTCAATTACAGTTACATTACATAATGACTCATATTATCAATCAAAAATTATATACCCTAGTATCACTATTAAACAATCATTTGACTCTAATTTTATTCATTCATGCTTTACGAGATAGCTATAATTTACTTAGTTTATTTAATAGCAATTCGTATAATCATACCAGATCTATCCTAAAAACATTATAATATCAAATAGAAAAGAAAAAATGTCTCTTTATATATTCATTATCATCTAAAATTCTAAATATTCTATTTATTATGTTTTATCATCCAACCATCTATAGAAAAGATCCCAAATTTCATAAAATTGTTTATCCTCTTGTTCTCTAATTTCAAATGTCAATCTACTCATCTCAGCACAATCCAATATTTTCTTAATAATTTCTTCCTGCAATGGTATTTTCTCATTTTTCCAGTTTTTAGCAAATACAATCCTAGCCGCTGTTAATATATTTACAATCAGGTATTTCAAATCTTTACTGTATGTATCAGGTAAGATTCCCAATAAAAAAATCTCTGGTTTCAAGTCTATATGTTTCTTTGTCATTTTTTCCAACCAGATGCGAATTTTAGTCCAGTATTTTCTAGCATCCTCACAAGTCCACCACATATGGTAATATGAGCCAGGTATCTGATGACATTTCCAGCATTTTTCAGATTTATTCTTGAACATTCTTGCTATTCTTGTCAGGGGAAAGTGCCACCTGTAAAATCTTATACAAATTTTCTTTATATGCTGTTGACATTGTCATTTTATAATTTTGAGACCACAATTTTTGCCATTTCTCTAGATCAATCCCATATCCAAAATTATTTCCCCAAGCAATCGTAGTTTCTTTAACTTGTTCTTCCTCTAATTTCATTTCCAATAAATAACCATATAGTTTTTTTAATCACCTTTTCATCAGTACCTGTCAAGATCTTATCTAAATCAGTCAATTTATCATAAAATCCCTCTGTCTTAAAATCTTCATCATACCTTGAATGTATTTCCGCATATGAAAACCAGTTCATCTTTATACCTTGTTCCTCTAGATTTTGCATTGATTTAAGTTCACCCTTTTCATCGAGTATTTCCCCATATCTAACTGTTTGTTCCTTCTTATAAATTATAGGATAGGAGAATGCTTCAATGATCGATAACCAAACTGGAATTTTCAAATAACATTGTCTTTTAATCTTCTCCCAATTCAACCACAAAGACTCCCTTGTATGATGTCTTCTAAAATAACCCTGTGTTTTAGTTCCCTTATACCATAAAAAAGCATGCCACCCCAACAACAAATCATGTCCTTCTAATGTCAACAATCTAGTCTTTCTTAATCTTATCTATTCCTTAGCCCACACCAAGTTTGCAGCTTGGTAGTACAATTCCCAATTAGGCAAACCAAAACCTCCTCTAACTCTGGCATCTTGTAGAAGTTTTAACTTTATTCTCGCTTTGCAGATTAAGATTCTCCTAATCTTCCAGATAACTTCTGATGAATCTCTTTCACTAAATCCCTGGAAGGCCAAGGGCATATTCTGAAAATACTACCCAAAAAATTTCAGGGACTTCTTAAAATCACCTTCAGAGGACAAACTTTTTCAGGAAGTATGTACCCAGTTCAATGGGGCTAATTTCTTCTTGATAATAAACTAATGTATTGGACTAACATGTTTAATTGAATGGCAACTTATTATTAAAACTTTGTTATACAAAAATAATTTAAAACTAAATATATATATATTTTGGTACATTATTTATATATTTATATTACTTTGTATCTTTATTCCTCAATATATCTTTTTCTAAAAGTATCTAATCTTTGCTGCTATCAGAAACAAAACAAACAACCACCCGGTGTTGATTGTAACAGAATACTCTGTCATTCTGTAAATATCGGAAAGAAGAATAAACCTGGTTTATAGGTTGCAGGTACAGAGGACAGGTGTGGGATGAATCAGATCTCATGTCTCTCCTGTCAGCTGGGCTATTTCAGGCACAGATTGGAACTACATGCCTATTTAGAAATAGTCGTCATTCCATGTCTATAGCTCAAGGCTCTTCAAACTGGGCAAGTTTAAGACTTGTGGACTTCAACTCCCAGAATTCCTGAGCTAACATGACTGGAGGAGGAATACTGGGAGTTGAAGTCCACAAGTCTTAAAGCTGCCAAGTTTGGAGACCTTTGTCTTAAGAAGAGTGGTTCGTGGAGATTTCTCCTTCTGGCAGATGAACTGGAAACAGAGCTAGTGGGATTGACTGATCCCTTTTCTCCCCTTGCCTTGATATTAACACTATCACAATGATGAGCTAATTCTTGAGTCAAGTTAGGGCTCAGCAAATAAGCCAGTGCAATTCAGGCTGGCGTATTTTTCGGCTGACTCCAAGTCAAGAGGATAGTAAAACTTGGTGGAAGATCGCATGCAGAGGGGGTTGTCGTTGCAGGGCGTGTGGTTGAGCAGCCATGCAAGTTTCATATTGGTATATATATATCCCCTCTTGAACACTTTTGAATTTTAAAATATCTTCCTTTACCACTTGAGGGGCATAACTTCCAAGGCAACTGCAGGCTAACAAACAAAGAAAGCAATAATTATTTATTAGATTTATGTGCTGCCTATCTAGTCTAGGTGGCTTTAGGACAGGGGTCATCAACCTTAAATACTCAAAGAGCCACAAAGGTCCTAATCAGAAGCTCTCATTCAATTCTGGAGCCAACTAGAAATCTGGTTCCCCCACGATAGAGTCCCTCTTTTCCTCTGCCGACCGGAAGTCCAGTTCCCCTGCCATAGAGTCTCCTCCTACCATGACATTCCTCTTTTCCTCTGCCAACCAGAAGTCTGGTTCCCTCACCATAGAGTCTCTTCCTAGCCACACTGTCTTTTTTCCTTTTACCGACTGGCAACAAGGAGCCACAGAAGAGGGATGAAAGAGCCACATGCGGCTCCAGAGCTGCGGGTTGCTGATCCCTGCTTTAGGATGTAATGAGAGAGAACCAGCCTTCAAACTTATCAAACAGGGGGAGAAGGCTGGTGAGAGGAATTTTCTTCCCTATTGAAACAAAGGCTTTGCCTCAGCCAGATTTTTCTTTAACTAAAAAGAAAAAAAATGAAAGGAGCAAGATTTCAAGGGGTAACAATAATAGCGTATAGAACATGTAGAATTCCATTGAATGAAACTTAAGAGGGTGGGGTCAAATGGCCTAATCGCATGCCAACCTTCTCTCCCTGACAAAGTGCTGCCTAGTCAGCAGACGGTGGGGATGATCATTCCTTTTCTTGGGAAAATGCTAGTCCTCCTAATCAATGGTGACCCTTCTAGCAGATGCCCTCTCTCCCACCTCCATCCCTTCCATCTCAGTAGAATCTAACTCACTAAATACGTTTCCATCTTTATATTGATTTTAATTAAAGATCTGTGATGTGGGGGCCGGTGAGGAGGTTTGCAGGATTGGATAGGACTCTTTGAGTATTGGTAACTAAGCTGATTTGCCCCTCATCGCTCTACGTTGGCTCGTCTGAGGAGCATTGGTGCTTCGTAGAGCACCAAAAAAGAAAAAAGAAAGCTGAATTTAATAATGACAATTCCATTATAATGCATCAGCAGGCAGGATACATGACTGGAGAAATTCTATCAAGCACTCCATCATTTTTGGAAATCTAAGGACTGTTCTATATTTCTTTCCTATCTAAAATCAGTGGATATGGGGGGAAAAAAACCAACCCTGGAAGAGAGGAAGAAAGATCAAACTCTTATGGAATGGTGACTGATAATGCACACAATTTTTTTTCTTAAGGGTTACTTTTTTTACAACTCATTTCTATTAAAGCACAGGTAGCCCTCAGCTTATGACCACAATTCAGCCCCAAAATTCTGTTGCTAAGTAAGACACATGTTAAGTGAATTATGCCTGACTTTATGACCTTTCTTGCCACGGTTGTTAAGTGAACCATTGTAGTTGTTAAATTAGTAACACAGTTTTTAAGGGAATCTAGCTTCCCCATTGACTTTACTTGTTAGAAGGTTGGAAAAGGGAATCACATGACCACGAGACACTGCCACCGTCATAAACATGAGACAGTTGCCAAACGTCTGAATTTTGATCACATGACCAGGGTCGCAATTGTCAAAAATGTTCATAAGTGGCATTGTAACTTCAAACAGTCATTGAACAAACTGTTGTAAGTCAAGGACTACCTGTATTAACATCCTTAGGAGGACGTGTACATCCTGTGTTATTCCTGTTCTGCTCGCTCTTTTTGTATCACTATCATTCAACTAGCCAACTTTGTGAGTGCTAACTTTGTGAGTGGTGGTCAAAACCCAAGCAAGTATTTCTAGGAAACGCTCAAGATGGGTAAATATATATATATATATATATATCACAATGGAATTCTGAAAGAACTTTAAAATTCCATCATGGGGTAGGTTCTGATATACAGAAATCCATGTAGAATGGGTAAGGATAATTGTGTCAGTAGCCAGACTGGTCTGTGAAGCCTGCAGGTAATGAAAATTGGGTAAATCGCAAAGTACAGGTTACTTACAACTTACAAACATTTGTTCGATAACCAAAGTTACAACAACACCAAAAAAAAGTTATTTATGACTGGTCTTCACACCTACAACCATCATAGCATCCCTGGGGTCACATGATTAAAATTGGGGCGCTTGGCATCCAGCATGTTTGCAACATTTCTTCTCTTGGCTTCTGGTGTTTTGGAAAATAAATTGATCCCCTCTTCTTTGTTGCAGCCTCTCAAATAGTGGAATGCTACTATCATGTCCTTCCTACTCCTTTTCTCTAGACTAGCCAGACCCAAATCCTGCAACCGTTCTTCATATGTTTTAGTCTCCAGGCTTGTAATCATCTTAGTTGCTCTTAGTTGCTCTTCTCTGCACTTTTTCCAAAGTCTCAACATCTTTTTTTGTAATGTGTCTGGAATGGCTTTAGGCACAAGGCCTCCAAGGTCCTTTCCAACTATGTTATTCTGTTAACATCCTGGAGTCATGTGATCTCCATCTGCAACTTTCTCAACCAGTTTCCAATGAGCAAAGTCAACAGAAAAAACTAGATTCACTTAATGACCATTGTTGTGGTTCGCCGGCAGCAGGTGAGGACGGCTGAAGGCCCGGAGAGCGAAGACTCAGATGTGGGGCCTGCGTGTGATGCAGGAATGGGGCCAGGACCATCAGGGAGTGGAATGCTGCCTTTGGAGATTGTGGAGGCTGGCAGCAGCGATGAAGAGGTCCCCGAGGAGCCTGTGCCCAGTGCACTCGAAGGAAAGAGCAGCTTAGCAACAGAAATTCTGATCCCAGTTGTGGTCATAAGTCAAGGACGTCCTGTAATGGATCATTGGAAATGCCATGCTGTAGCTCAGTCCTTTGAACGGTTTGACGTCAGACAAGAAAAGTCCTTGAATTGTAGTGGAAACAGGTGTTTATAAAACTGTAATTTACTGTAATTTGTGCACAAAACATGTCAAAAAAGAATTAGGAGGGCAGAGGTGGTTGTGAAAAGAATTAAACCCCAGAGCATCAATAAAAAGTACACAATAAACTTGTTTTCTGAAATTCAAACCAATATTTGTGCATTTACAATGTATCATTTCCCAAGATACTAGTCACGAATTTGTCTTTTTTTTTAGGCACAAGTGCCCAATATATTTTGGTTATATTCTTAATAACAAATATTTTATTTCTAAAATATTGAAATAAAATATTAAATATTAAATAAATTTTAGGTGCAGAGCTAGAAGATATTATGAGTCCTCAAACTTTCACATCTAAGCCACATTTCAAAGTCCAATTTTCCAAAACATCTGCCATTTTCATTCCATGTGATATTCCTCTTTAGCTTTTTTCTTGAATCTTAATAATGCCACGGGAAGTATATGTTTACTTATCTTTATCCTGCCTTTGTTTTAATTTTTTTGTAAGTAACTCAAGGTGGCAAATATACCTAATATTTTCTCCTCCTCCTCTTTTTCCCACAACAGCCCTGGCTTGGGGTGGAAGGGAAAATGATTGGGTCAAAGTAAACTCATCTGGTTTTCATGCATAAGGCTGGACTAGAACTCACAGTCTCTTCGTTTCTAGCCAGATGCCTTAATCACTAGACCAAATTGGCTCTCATATTTATTTATTTATTTATTTAATTAATTAATTTTGTTGAGCGATTATAACAGGTATAAGTATAAGCCTGGTTATGAATACATGAAATGGATACATATAAGAAAAAAGAAACAAACAAACAAATATTATCTAATTAATAATAGTTTCCTTTGAATTGAGATTGTCTGCTTGTCCATGTCATTTCCTTGGTAAAAAATACAGAAGAGATTTTATGAATGCCTCTCAATCTAGCCTATGGTCCTGAAATGTTCTAGTTACTTCCCATTTAAATAGTAAAGGCCACTGTTGAGTTTAACACCTTGATGAGATGCTACCGCATAATTGGTCAGGCATATCACTAACTATTCCACAATCAAGGAAAAAACAGTCTATGTTCTTTTCGTCTCTCTTGGAGATGTTCTGAAGCAGTGGCTTGGGTTTTTTTCTCTTACCTTCACTGTAAGAATAAATCCAGCACTGTAAAAAGGATTTTCTCGGTCCAGTGGTCCATTCAGAGTTAAAGCACCACTGATGTAGTCCAGGGCAAAGATACTGTTGGTGTTGCCTGACAATAAAATAAATAGGATAAGCACAAATAAACTCCCATGAAAAGCATAAAAAGCTCAAGAATTAATTTAGAGACATATTCAGAGAAAGCTGTGTTATGCACATAACAGAACATAAACTGCAAAGAGAAGTTTGAGAAGTAAAAAGGTTGTGTCATCTGGAACCCCAAGCCAACGGCACATTATGATGTGAATTAAAAGCATTTTATTAAAAAAAAAGAAAATCTAAAGTCAATTTCCCATTGCCTCAGTCTAACAAGATATCGGATAGAGAACTGAATAGCTTCTGATAATATCACAAAAACTTCAAGCAATATTGGAAGTCTCAATCTGCTCCTTTTAAAATGGAAATGTATTCATAGTTTTTGTGTGTACACAACAATTCTGTTAGACTTAGACGTAGATCTGCACTTACCTTATAGCTAAAACAGGACACAGTGAGGTGGAACAAGGGGGGCTTTGTTTAAAAGGAGTGCCCAACCTTGCCAACTTTTTGCTGGCTGGGGAATTCTAGGAGTTGGGTGTCTGCAAGTCTTATAGAAGTCAAGGTTGGGCACCCCTGCTTCTCTAGCGGAGATTGGGATGATTTGCAGAACACAGGCAGGAAATGGGATCTTTCTCTCATGCAACATGGAAGCCATTATATCCGTATCCATAACTATGAGAAGTTAGGGGTGAAAGCATCAGACTGGGAAGAAAAAGGTGAAGGGGAACAGCAATTTTCCTTCTGGGATATTTTGCTTCTGTAATACAAACTTAGCAATGTTTAACAAAACTAGCTAGTTAACTCGCTAACTAACTAGCTCAGTTTTACAAATTTTACATTCCCATTACAGCAGGTCTTGAACTTGGTGCCTTAGGGACCAGCCAATGGGCCACTTTTGATTCCCCACCAGTAGTAAAAGAAAAAAAAAACATTTAGGAAACATGGAAAGAGACTTCTGAAAAATATAGAGAGACACACAAAAGACGTGTGTTATTGGCTTGTATCTGAATCTTACCCAATGATTTCACGGGAAGGAATAGATAGATTTGATTTGAAAGTTTTCAGACTAGCCTCAACTATTTGAACTCATCTTTATTTTATTATTTTATTTTATCTTCATGTTTCTTAAAAACCCATCCAAATAGAGGAGGTGGGATAAGCACAGTACCTCTCTTTATTCTTCTACTCTATAGCACACATTTGGGGAGTTAAATACTTTGGTGATCAGCGCCTCCCTTCCCTCCTCTACCTCTATAATGTATTGTTGCTTTCATTTATTTTATTGTTACCTTTCTATCAATTTCTTGACCCACTAAAAAGTCCCAGCTTGGGTTAAGTGCAGTTTGACACGCAGCTGACTGTGCAGTTCTACAAAACAGTGTGATGGCTTTCAATTGGTTTGTCTGCTCTAGTGATCTAATAGCAATTACACTCTCCCCGTTTTACATCTGAAGGACACACACACACACACACACACACACACACACGGCCCAAATCCCCTTGACATCTCTATTGTTCCTCTTGGATCTATGGCTGAAAAGCCATAGGCAATATGTAACATGGGAAAGATGGAAGAATCGCCTATATGCCTTCTGCAGCATTCCCTAATCGTCTCCAAATTATCCCAAGCTGATAAGCTTGCCTTTATCTTTCTAGACAAAGGTAGAAAGTTTCAGGGTCTGCTTAGGGGGTTCCTTCATCCATCCAAATCGTTGCTGCTTCCCATATACTGTTGCTGCTGTCAATATATATTTCAGAGGATACACAAGGGAGTGGCACATTATAAGATGCACCATTACTTCTATTTTTTAAAAAATTAGGAGCGCTAGCAAAGAACATACCTAGACCGCGGATGTCCTAGAACTTACGTTTTCCCCAAACAGATTTACCGTAAGTGAGACAGCATGAAGGGAGCAAGGGAAAAGCTCTCATCCTGATGCATATCTCATTTTATATAGCGACACTGGATTTAATTTGAAGGTTCTGGTAGAGTTTCTACTAATCCTAATTTGTGTTTTAAAATCCCAATGTTGAGTTCACAGGAATTAAAACAGATATATCCTCTGTTTGCAGCTGAACAATGTCTGATCAAGACTGAAGCCTTGAATGGGTTTAAGTATGAACTTGTTGAATTCAAAGGACATAAGTTTAATATAATTAAGTGGACTTATGTGGGAGAGGCTAGAAAGGGAGGAAATGAACACAGACATAAATAAGAGGCAAGTATTTTCTATTGATAGGAGCTCAGCCCAGTTGTGGAACAAGAATGTCAACATTCTTGCTCCACAACAAGAATCTCAAAGAGATTCTGCCTTAATTAATTCACTATAAATGAAGGCTGTAAAATTCTTGTTACAAAGATTCTGTATTTATGCCACACTAGTAATACCTCACTGAAATCAGCATAGTTCTTGCTTTTTTATAATCTTGTCCAGCTGCTTGAAACAAGGCTTTACAAGTAGAAAAATTAAATATCAGACTATAAACTCAATGAACTTGCTAAAATCCTTCATATATTTGAATTGTCCGTATCGCTACTGCCTGAGTTTCTACTGTTTCTTGAACTTCAAGTTTATGCTTAACTGTTTCTATGTCTGTTAATATCAGCATTCGGCCAGGCAAAACTCTTCTGTTTCCTTTCATTCTGTCATGTGGAAAGAACCAAACATAACACAATAAATTGCCCAGAGTACTCATAAATTGCTCAGAGTACTTACTTTATTGCTGTTCACCCTTAGACAAGAATCTTGCACAGACTGCATATCTATCAGATAAATCCCGTGAAGGTTTAGGGAGGATCCCTTCTGGGTGTCCTTCTACATATCAAGAACCCAATTGTGAATTGTCTCTTAGCTCCTTGGGAAAGAGCCCCTCCCTCTTTGAATTCAGCACCAGATTTCACCACAGATTCATTCTATATGGCATTGGCAGCCATTTTTTTGTCCCGGTGCTCCCATTTCTCAGTGTTAAGAATTATGCACAATGAACTAATTTTCGAAGTTGTATGAAATCTCTCTAGTGTATCTGAAATATAGTGCATATGATGGAGAGATGTCCTTTAACAGCAGAAAACTGAACTGTCCATCAATGCACCAAATACTATCACTGCTTCTCTGGTGGGGTTAGAACATTGACTCAATATTACCTCTGCCTCTCATCCTACATTACTGGCAACTTGCATACAATTGTGAAAAATGAGGCCACCCCTGCCTTTTCTCAAGGTCATAGCACTTGTCAGCATCTCTACCAGAAGAACAGTTTCTGTGGCACATAGACAAACACCTTTCTGGAAGGGTGGGGGAGATAAGGAGACTGAGAATTCACTAGGGTCAGCTGAGACCTAACAGTGGAAAGACATCTGTTGTTAGAGAAAGGATCACACTTTTGAGAGAAACAGCTGTCAAGCAATAGCAATGTGATATGTAAAAATATACCTGTGAAAATATAAAGCAATGGTAACGCCATTTTTAACCTCTGTTTTAACCTAAAATAATTTACTGGAATATTATGTAAGAATTCTCTATTGTTTTGTATAAAGGTTACACACACAGAGAGAGATAGGTAGGTAGGTAGGTGGGTAGATAGATAGATAGCAGGTTACACTGACCAGTGTCATGTTCATGATGGAGATTACTGGAAATGGAAAAACAAGACAAGGAAACAGATGTTATGCTACAATAACAGGGGTGTTGCATAGCTGGACCCATAGTTGGATAGATTGTGAACCCAGGAAAGAGGCAGAGACTGTATATTTGAACCTGCATATAAACCCCAGCCTTCCTGGGAACCAGGTCTTCTGCCCAAAGACAGAATTCCTTTTTGCTTCATAAAAGCTCTTATATATTGTTCACGTGTCTCCAATATTCAGTTGTCTGAATACCTGAATGGTTGATTTTTATCACAAGCTAGTTGGAAACTGTTGTAAAGAAAACAGAAAGAGACGAAGACCAGAATTATCTAAGTCAGGGGTGTCAAACTCAAGGCCTGCAGGCAGAATCCGGCCTGAGAGATGCTTAGATCTGGCCCATGGGGCCACCCTGGAAACAGCAAAGGACTGGCCTGTGGTGCCTCTGCCAGTGTAAACAGAGTTCGGGGAGGCTGTGAGTGGTCCTCTTGAACTCTGTTTTCACTGGCAGAGGGCGGCAAGAGGCCATCGCGTCCAAAAATGGAGCTCGGGAGCCCGTTTTCACTGGTAGAGCACTTGGGCCACCACAGATGCACTGACACGAGTGACACCAAGCTGGCCACGCCCACCCCAGCCATGCCCACCCTGGCCCCTGAGGTCAAACACAACCCTGATGCGGCCCTCAATGAAACCAAGTTTGACACCCCTGATCTAAGCCCATAGAAAGCATGCACCTCATGGCTTAGAAGTCTTCCTGGGCAGGAGGAGAACAAAATGGAGGGCTGTGGAAAAAAGAGGGTCCTGTCTGTGCAAGTATCAGGCGGGGAAGCTGTAAGCGGAAAGACATTCTTAAGCACAGGGAAAATGTCAAGGTTAAACTTGAATTCCAGCTAATAGGAATTAATAGAAAGGAAGAAAATTCTTGAAGGTTTAGAAAAGGATGATTAAAAGTGACAGAAGTAAGAAATCTCTGTCTTTAGCAGATATGTGAACATCTCTATGTACAATAAAAGCCTTTTGGTAGTAAAATCTAGTTTCTGACAAAATGACCATTATTTTCCCTCGACCCCAACAACCCCAGACTGGAATAAAACACTTCCCCCAAATTATCAGTGTATGTTAGATTAAAGCCTGCTTTAATCAATATCTTAAATACTAAAGAAAATTGTCTGATCAAGATGTCTTTACTTACAGAAGAGCCAGAAAAGAAAGAAAAGAAAACAATTAGAAAAAAATGAGTTACTCTGTCTTTTTTTTTTTTTTTGGAGGTGGGGAGGGGGGAGAAGTCCTAGAGATTAGAAGCAACCAGCTAGCAAATGCCATCAATATTCTCAGCAAAACACTGTTTTTTCCAGTGTGAATGGAAGCTGAGGGTCAGTGTTAGTTCT